GCTAGTTGTTCCCAATTCCTCCTTATGTCATCAAAAGTGTAGGAAGAGAACAGATCCAAGGATTTTACCCAACTTATGGCCCTACATAAGATACTTTCTAACACACATGTTTGATCCCTCTCCTTGTCATTAAAGATTCTAGCATTTCATTCCTCCCACACAGTCCACACCAAAGCAGCTCTAACACACCTCCACAAAACTCTTCTTCTTCTCTTTGGCCACCTGAAAGTTGTAGGATAAAAAAGATTGCAAATCTGCACCGGTTCTGTCCACCTGCACCCGAAAGGAGCAAAAAGCTTTTCCCAAAAGCCTACAACAAAAGGGAAAGTGATTAGTATATGGTAGCAACTTTCCTCGTTTCCTTTACATAGGGTGCACCAATTAGGAGAAATACAAAGACTAGGTCTTCTTTTTTGCAAAACATCCAAAGTGTTGATTTTCCCGAGGGAGACTTCCCAATCCCACTTTAGGAGGGACAGGTTTGGACCAAACTTCCTTGCTATGAAAAGGATGAGACAATGGAGAGGAGCACAAGGGAGCACAAGAAAAGGATCCCAAAGGTAAAGGCTTCCAAATACGGGAATCTACAGAAGGAGGGTCCAAGTAAACAGGATCAATAGTTTTAAGGAGCAAAGCAACCTGGTCAAGCTCAGAATCTCTCAAATCTCTTCTAAAACCTAGATTCCAGTTTATACCAGAAGAAAAGGATGAGGATGCAAACTTTGAATTGGCTTGTTTTTAAAACACGAGATGGAATACAAGGAGGGAAAAAGGTCCTTTGAGGGCACAGTCACCAATCCAAACATCCTCCCAAAACAAAACCCTATCTCCAGTACAAACATCATACCTGATCGGGTTCAAGAAAACGGGAAGAATATAGTATGAATAGCCTTCCATGGGGATTTCAGCGTAGCACGCCAAGAAACACCAGCATCCCAACCATTGTATGCAACCCATCTCCTACTGAAAAACTTGTTAAGCTTCTGAATTCCTGGTTGAATCTCATGATCCCCTTCCACACTCACCCCATATGAAGGACCTCACCTCCCTAGATTCCCACCCATACCTCACCCATGGTTTAAAGTATCGATACATCCGATACGCACGAATAGGCATATCGGGTGTGTTAATACTTTGTAACTTTTTTAATTTTTTTGGGGTCCGTCTAAGGCTTGCCTACCCCTTGAAAAGGCCCAAATTCCGAAGCACCCCTTATTTGGGGTTTCAGAAAGCCACTGAACGATACGAAAAACCTGATATGGGGTATATTGTATCAAAATTTTGAACCTTGACTTCACCATCCCATACTTACCCACCACCACTCTTCTCCATAATGAATTTTCCTCCCTCCCTAAACCAAATCTCCATAACCACTTCCCTACCACGACCTTGTTAAAAACTCTCACCCTTCTCCTTCAGCCTACAAACTCTCCCCCAATTTACCAAGTAAAACTTCATTCCCCCTCCTTCCCTACACACCCCTTCCCATAAAAAATCCCTATGAACATTCTTAATTCTTTCAGCCACTTGTCAGTATCTTTAGTAACAAATGATATCTAATAGGTTGGTAAGCTTGAAAGGACACTTTTGATAAATGTTATCCCCCCAATATTAGATATTTTGCTTTCCATCTATCCAACCTCCTTTCAACCCTCTCCAAAATTGGCATCCATAATACACCTGAATTTTAAGCTCCTCCAATCGGCATCCCCTAGTAGGTGAAAGGAAGTTCCACAATTCTGCATTCAAAATTCTCAACACACTCCAATAAAACCTCCCTTTCAACTTCCACAACTCCAATCAATACACTCTTTGAGAAGTTAACTTTCAACCCTGTTAAGAACTCAAAGTTTGCCAAAATTGCTCCCAAGTTTAAGACCTGGTCAACCAAAGCATCCAAAAAAATGGTCCATCTCTGTCCACCTTAAAACCTTCAATCAGTCCCAACTGTCTACTTCTCTCCAATAACAGATCCAGCACTTCCTTTACCAACACAAAGAGCATAGGAGAGATTGGATCCCCTTGCCTCAAATGTCTTGGAAAAACTCTAAGGATATACCATCTATGAGTATAGAAGATGAGACTGTAGAAATGCAAGCAAACATCCAACTTCACCACTTCTCTCCAAATCCCATCAACCTTTGAATCTCTTTTAAGAATCCCCACTCCATGTGGTCATAGGCTTTCTCAATGTCAATTTTACAGACCAATCCAGCTCTACCACTTCTCAATCTAGAGTCAATACATTCACTTGCCACTAGAACTCCATCCAGAATCTACTTTACACAAAAGTCATCTACGATTCCCCCATAGCCTCGTGTAGTACTTTTCTCGGTCTTTTTGACAATACCTTGGCCAACAATTTGTATTGGCCTGTAATCCTTCAACTCCACTGCACCATCCTTCTTTGGGATCAAAGAGATAAAACTAGCATTAGCCATTTTCTCCAAAGCTTTCTCCCAATAAAACTCCTTAAACGTTAGATCAAACTCTTTTTTCAACACATTCCAACATGCCTTTATAAAAGAGAAATTGAAACCATCTAAGACTCAAGGCCTTATCCCCATTTATATCTTTTAATGCCTCCTTAATTTCCTCCATTCCAAACTCCCTATCAATTCAATTTGCTGAAACATCACACAATTTCTTGGGGATCATCTCCCCGAGGGGCATCCAGCTCCAAATTCTTGAAGTATATAAGTCCTTATACCCCACCACAGCACCACCTTCCCTTGAATTTCATTCCAGAACTCCACCATCTCTTTCCCCACTTGAATTCTTGAAATAAAATTCCACCTCCTAGGCAATGTAGGACCTGAGACAACACTATCAATTGAGTGTTACAACACTCTCAAGTCCCACATTACCTAAGAGTTAGGTTGAAGGCCTTGCCTTCATCTATATAAGGATAGACAACTCTAGAGAGCAAGTTATTCTCTCCTATGTGAGTTGGCTCATGTGTCAGCACAGATATTTATAGTGTATATTAAAATATTTAATATAAAAATAAATATATCTATAGATATAATATAATATATATAGTTTATTATACATAATGCATAATATAATATTTTATAATATAAACATATTATGTATATTATATACATATTATTAAATATATAATATACATTGCGGCTTGGGCTCAAAAGGATCACACCAACATTAAAAGGCAGGCAATTGACACTGAAGGAAATTCAGCCCTTCCTCCCTGTCATCAATGTCAAAGAATTACTGAATTTTTTGTCTTTTTTACCAATAACTGCAAATTTCATTAAAAATTTAAAACAGAGGACATAAAAAGCAAAGAGGAGAGGTAAACTCACTTAACTCTCCTCAAAAGAATTACTGAATGTTGACAAGTGACAGTGATTCAACCGCAAAGTATCAAAAATATTTGGTAGGTCTACAATGATACTAATAGCCTTTATGAGAAATGGAAGAACAGATATCATATATCAAAGTTAAGAATGTTATACTTGTATTCTGCACGGACAGATGATTTGCGGTTAGGTCCCAACTGATTTGATTTCCTTGGAAATGCCACCCTTGTTTGGTGCCTTGGGGTATTGAGCTTTGCAGACCAAAGTTTACTTGAATTAAGATGAGATGCACCTGTAATGTTATCATAAAAAGAAAAAGTTTATTGAAAGGAAAAAAGAAGAGAGAATATACCACAAGAGAATAAAAATGTAGTATTGACTATTGGGACCAAACTGAAGGAAACAATACAAATAGTACATTGATCACATAGAACATTCTAAAAGTCCCTTCCAACTAGTTTCTATAATCTGTCCATTTCTTCAATATCTGGGAGAACCAAAATCTAATAAAAAATAAGCTAACCAATACTGGACTGGCACATAGCTTGGATATAGCAACATGAATAATTTTAACAATGGATATGAAAGTCAACCCCATATAATTGGGATAACACTTGGATGATGATGGCTAGCAACATGAAAGAAATATTCTAAGTAATGAGGAATATGAACTTCAAATTTCTTTCCCTCCAAATTTGAATACAAAGTTTTGCAGAAACCTTTTTATCAATAAGACCATATTATTCAATCTTTAACTATCATAAATATCTAGGGACCACCTTTATTTCTTCCTTTCATTAGGTGGAATGTCAGCATGGAGAACTAGAAAAGATTATGTGAATTAACGGTGAAGTGCCAATTTGATATGGATGACGCATGAGTGTTAAAGGATCAGTTAGAGTGGGGTTGTCGAGGGCCAGGCTGTAATCTGCAACTTGCTAGTCTTTCTCTTCGTTTATATTTAGCTTCAGCTTTATACTTGACCTCTTATTCCTTGGGGGCCTGTGTTGTATTATGAGATTTTTTCACTTCCTTAAATGAATGAACTTTAATTGTTCCTTATCAGGGAAAAAAATCAACTATGAAGAGAATTTCCTCTTGTTCCCAACTTTGGATTCTTTCCCATGCAAATGGATATCTGAAGCTCTTATCCCATCTAAGGTCTCCTTCTTCATGTGGATTACAGCCCTTGATGTTTGACATATCATAGATCACTTAGTCTTGAGGAGTAGACCTATTAAAAACATTTGAACATATTGTTTCAATGAACGCCAAATATTAAAGCCTTACTTTCTAGAAGTGTAGTTATTATTTATTAGATCCAGCTTTTTGGGAGAGATGTGATTGCAAGTCAAAGAATCCAAATTTGCATTATATTGTTATGTTTGTTGGTTTGTCCGGACCTCCTCATTTTCTTTATTTCCCCTCTTTCCCTACTTTTTCCAATAAAATATCCTCCTTATTGATTCAAAACCATTATAGTCTACAGCACCTACACATCTAGGCATCACTATGTCCGAAAAATCCGACCTGTTTTTCGAACGACAGAGCAAGATCTAAACAACCTTGAAGAAATACCACAAACCATAGAGCACATCAAAAGAAAAAGAAAAACGAAGACAGACAAATCATAAATTCGAAAAATAACATATCCATAAGCAACTTTAGTCATTCTTTAACGATAGTAACAAGTAATCAACATCAACAAGAACACAACCAAGGACAATAAAAAAGGGAAAAAACGACTTATCAATAAGCACAATTTGAATAAAAAAACATAGACATCAAAATGAACAAGGGAGACATGAGAAACTCAAACCAAAAGAAAAGACATGACAAGTTAATACTTCAATCAGCGATCTTTACCAGTAATCGAAACCGCAGTACAATAAGCTGCCATGGTCAAGCTCCGCTGAGAGAGAGAAAGAGAGAGAGAATAAAACTGCAAAAGGTTAACAAAAAAAACGTAAATATCATCATCGGGAGGGTTCACACATCTTCACCCCACAAAAGGCGCCCCACAACGTCCTACAGAACATCCCCGCTGTGCATTGGAACATCTTCGGATGATACACCAAAATCGATGATGTCACGGGAGATGTTCTCAATGCACGGTGCAAATGTACTGTAAGACATTGTGGGGCGCAGATCTAAATTCCGGTGGAAGAGGGGAGAAGCGTAATTACATATATTACGATTTACGATAATTAGGGCCGAAAGCGGATCGAATCGAATTGGATATATCCAAACAAATTTGTTTTGTTTATACCGGGTTCGAATCCAGCCAATTCTTATGCACTGTTTATAACAGATACATTGCAATCGGATAATCATTAATAAATTAATAAATTCTTATGCACTGAAAATGACCTTTCATATTATCTAAAAGGGGCGGTCTCCCCTTTCGCCAAATGGCAGTAATTTAATTACTGTCATTAACGATTATTAATACTGTTATTTAATAATTACTGATCTATTTATTTTAATCCAGTTTTAATAATTATTGATTGTTACAGTAATTTAATAAATATTTAATTAGTGATTATATTTAATAATTACTGCTATTATAAATATTGTTAATAAATAGATATTTACTTTAATCTTATTTTAAATTAAAATTATAAATATTGTTAATAAATTTAGTAATTATTGTTATATTAAAAATAATTAAAAATGTTATTAAAAGTATTTTTATTGATTATTTAATAAAATATTATAATTAATGACTATTACTGATAAATACTATTAATTTAATTTAATTTTGGTAATTATTAATTTAATGAATATTATTAATAAATCCTATTCATAAATTTAGTAATTATTGTTATATTAGAAATAAGTAAATAATATTATTAAAACTATCATTACTGATTATTTAATAAAATATTATAATTACTTACTATTATTGATAAATGCTGTTAATAATTAAATATTTAATAGATAATGTTAACAAAAACCAGCAAAAATAATGTTTGTCTTTTTGCTTATTGAATTTCTTTGTTTTAAATTTTTGGGTTTTGTGCTTTGAAAATTGTTACATAATGTTAATTAAAAATGCTATTTGCATTTAGCTAATGAATTGTTTCAAGGTTCTAAATATCGACACGGGCCGATACGCCCTGTGGTGGTGCTTTTTTTTATGTTTTACTTATTTTTTTCAAAATTGGTTCAGAGGGGCCGGTTTAAGGCCCAGCTACCCTCTGAACCAGTGGCTGACCCGATACAATCCCTGTAGAGGCATACCGACCGATACGGTCTGATATGTGTTGATACTTTGAACCTTGAATTGCTTTGGTTTACATTTATAGATTTTGTGCTTTGAAGATTGTTACATATTGTAAGTTAAAAATATTGCTTGTTGAATTTTTTTTTTTTTGAAATTTGATAATTGTTATACCTAAAATTGTTAAATAATGTAACAATAACAATCGCCAAATAATTATAAAAATTATCAAATATAAATTAAAAGAAATTACCATTATTAGACATAAATTACCAATATTTATAACAAAAATGCTAAAAATAAATCAAAAGAAATGATCACAAATTAGTAGACTAAAGTCTACTAATATAATCCTAAACACATTAAAATAATTTACCAAAAATTATCATAAATTAGTAGAAATGTCCAAAAATAGCCACTAAATCCCATAAAATTGATAAATTACTATAATTTACCAATAAACTATCATATCATAAAATATAATATAATAGTATATATTTACCAAGAAATTAGTATATAATAGAAATTACCAAAAATTAGTAGAAATTATATAATAGAACTAATTTCCACTAATTCACCAATAAACTATCATATAATAAGTATAAAAAATAAGTATATATTGACCAAGAATTCTCATAAATTAGTATCATAGAAATTACCTTAAATTAGTATAACTTAGCCAAAAATAACCACTAATTTCCATAAAATATTATATTTGCCAAGAATTATCATAAATTATTATATAATAGACCAGAAATTAGTAGAACTTAGCGAAAAATAACCACTAATTTCCATAAATATGATAAAATAAATGAAATTAGTATAACTTTGTAAAAATAACCATTAAATTCCAAAAATTAGTAGAACTTAGGATGATAATTACTTCAAATTATCAAATAATATGAATCTAAATAAATTACAATAATTTGTCAAAAATTTCATTTCGTTTTCCAGTGCATCGCACGGGTTCCCGCTAGTATGATGAAAAAAATATGTTGAAAATAAATTTTATGAAACTTGTACCAACGAATCCTTGGTAAAAATACAACGATAATATAAATTTTAAGAAAATATAATCCTATTCATTTAATTGGAATAAAGTTGGATTTTATTGGATTGGATAGGTGTGAATCCATATTTCAATGGATACAATTTTAATACTAAGGTGAGTTTAGAAGGGGGTATAAATGCAAATAAGTAGAGTGCAAAATGTAAGTATGTGTTGCTTTGCAAGATATCACATTCCCAATGTGATGTTGAATAGATCTATGGGCTTGAGCTTGGGGTGTGGACTGGTTTTAGGTTGGATCTTGTCGAAATTGACTTCAATTTGGATGGATTGGACGAACCAATAAGACAAAATGAATTCGACTAGTCTAGACTTAGTGGTTCAAAGTATTTATTGGATTGGTTTGGAGCTAGTCCATCCATAATGGATTTATATTAGATTGGGTCAGATTAAACTGATTCATAGAAGATAAGAATATAGATGTTAATGGTCCACGTTTGGATTGGAATTTGGAATCAATCTAATTAAAACATATTTGAGCGGATTTGAATGGCCCACCCTGAGCCTGAACACCGGCCAGTGAGCAGGTCTAATGTCAAACCACCCAAGAGTGTGACAAATCAATGAAACATCAAAGTTGATTTTGACTTGATATCTTCTTGTAGGCTTTAACCTGATGAATTGAACTATACGAGAATGATCATGAGAAACAATACTTATAGACTATCACGATATGAAGGAAGGTTAATAGCAATTTCTTCCACCAATCCGACCTCTAGGATTTGGGGTGTTGTGGTTGAAAAACAACATCATTTTTATGCTTCCAAGTTCCAAATACTCCAAACGAGAAAGACCCATTAAGATTCAATTATTTTGAACCAATTATCCATTCATTCATTAAGCTTTGGCATAAAATCAAGATGGCTCACAAGTTGTGCCACACTTGTTTAGCAAATCTACAATCAACGAATACATGATCGATCGATTCAGTGGATTCTCAATAGAGTAGGCAAACTGTATCTATGTCCCATCAATGGAACCAGAGAGATTTTGACTTTATCTTTTCAAGGAGACTTCTAGTTTGATAATACAATAACCACATAAGCAGATTTGATGGTATATTTTCCATTAGGACTGCCACACAACCCCATTTTATCAACTTGACCCAACTCCAAAATATAAGAATTGGTTATCATTTGAAGAAGGCCTGCAGTTAAGATGCCACTTAATTTACTAATATCCCAACATTGAGTCTCTTTGATAAGTAGCTTTTTCATACTAAGGCATAGATCATAGTTATTTTCACTACTGTTATCGAGGAAATTCAATAATGGACCATTTTGGTTTAGTTATCTATCCATGGCAATGGGGCAGGGTGGGGACTGGGAGCCATCTCATATCTATTATCACAAAAATCCCTATTTCCATCCCTATCCCCCTCTTTGCTAGTGGGGACAAGGTTACCACTATTCCCATCCCCATGAGAATTTCCACTCCCCATATTTTTTATGATGTCATTTTGTTTTTTGTTTTTTATATCATTTAAAAGAGGGTAAATTGCAAATTAGTACCATGTACTTTTGGGCCTGGTGTCACTTTGGTACCCAAATTTCAAAATGTGTCAATAATCCAATACTTGAACTTCCAAAACGTCACAATTTAGTTCAAAATCGTTAACTACCATTAAGTGACATGTGAAAGGATGCAAATGCCCTTCAGGTGTCATCTAATTTTCCCTATCAACCATCCAAATGCCCAAATCCAAATGTCCTTTAGGTTATTCAGCATTGCTTTAGTTCAACCTTGATTTTTGAGGAAAAAGATGATGAACAATGTCTTATTTTGAAGAGTAATTTTGATATTTTTAGAAGTTTTAAGTCACACATGTCATCATGTGATATAGATATAACTGACTGATTGCTAACGACAGTAACTAAATTGGGATGTTTTGGGAGTTCAAGTATTGGATTAACACATTTTGAAATTTGGGTACCAAAGTGAGACTAGGCACAAAGTACAAGGTACTAACATGCAATTTAATAAAATAATAAAAAATTAGACATATTAAAAGCTATCTAAGTATATCCAAACATATTCAACCATGTTTTTAAAAATATTAATATAGATACATACATGTACATGTAAGTGGGAATCCCCACGGTACAGGGAGTACTCTCCCATCCTCACCAACTAAGATGAAAATTTCTTCATCCCCATCTCTGCTTGAAATAGGAAGATTGTCATTCTTGCCCAAAAAGGACATAATTTTCTCCTTGCCCAAACATCATTAAATCATTTTGCATGAGGTTGCAGGCTTCCAATAGAGTGAGCCCCCTTTGTTGGCTTAATATTGTAGAAACTAGCATTTTTGATATCCTTGGCCCGAAGGTCCAAATATTATTTTGGACCATAAGAATATTCCATCCCAACTTATTTTGTCTCATAAGAATAATATTATTAAGTTCCTTCATATCCTTTAAATTTTGGATGATAGGTAGCCCCAAATATTTTCTCTTTTTTTAATGAACTAAGGATACCCAAAAGATTAACAAATAATTTCTGGTGCTTTTCAGATAGTTCTTTGAACTAATGATCCATTTAATCCACTTAACATGAAATCTAGTTTCTTGTGGTAGACTCCTATAAATTGCCAATCCTATTTCTTATAAAACTTTCTCAAGTCTAACTTACAACAGATCTAAGATTTGCCCTTTTTTTTCTTTTTCATAGCATTAAGGAAAAAAATCATAAATGGCCTCACGATAACATTTTTGATAATTTTGAAAGATGGGGATTAAGATGCATTCCATAATCTATTTAATCCACTTATGATTCTTATTACAGTCCTCAATAAATAACCACTACAATTTGTTAGAACCCCTTTCTAATTTACGGTGCATCTAAATTATTAAATGCAAATGGATCAGCCGGAATTCAAATCAAAGTTATATTTGAGTTCATTCTGATCCAAGGATCCAAACAGATCTCATAAATATTAATTCAAATTCAAATTTGATCAAGATGTTGGAAATCTGAATTTGATCCAATCTGATTTAATTTTCTACAAAAATTAATAAATTATTAAAAAAAGAAAATATAATAGTTTAAATAAAGAAAACACAAAAAACAATATTTTGATTATATATACATATACATAAATACACACACACACACACACACACATATATATATATATATATACCCATGTGATGTACGGGCTTTGTCAAAAGAATTTAAAGCAAAAGGAGATAGGGGTGCAACTTGGATGAGCCCAACCTGAGCCCTACTCGACTCAACCAAAGCTTTTGCACAGGTTGGGCTTGAGTTTTAGAACTTCAAGTTGGTATTGGGCCAAAAAAAACTCGAGCCTAAAACCTAAACTCAAGTTGGGCTTGAATTAAGGTCTTGGGTTGCCCAACTCGACCCGACCCAATTTGAATCCACCCAACATTTTATGATATACATATCTACATGTTATCAATCTATTATACCCAAAAAATTGAGCTACAAAGCTCAATAGGCCATACCCAAGATGTTGGGTTAAGCTCAAATTAGGCCTAAGTTGGTACACTCAAGCTCAACTTTGAGTTGGGCCAAGCCTAAGCTCGAGGTTTGAAAATTAGGGTTGGGCTTGAGTTGGGCTTGGGTTAACCCTCAACCCAACCCAACTCACCCAAGTTGCACCCCAAGAAGGAGCATTGTGACTCTCCTAATTGTATTAGATTTTATTATTTATTAAATTGTTGTAACTTTTACTAAATTTTTATGTAGTATATTAGGGGATTTTAAATTAATAATAATTAAGTTTAAGACTAATAATTTTGTTATTTTTCTTTTAAATTTGTAGTATCATTTTATGTTTTAAATGAAATATAAATAGGTATCAAAATATAAGATTTAATTTTTAAGCTAAAACTTTCTTTTTTATTGTTTTATTAATAAACATGAATTATTTAGTAATTAAGTTAAAATTACTTAAATAATTATATAATTATTTTATTTTTTAGTTAATATTTTTAAGTATATAATCACTTTCTAAGTGAATTAAGTTTGTTAAGTTAATTGTTGTAATTAAGAAACTTAATTAATAATTTCCTACTTTAACTAATAAAAGTAAGTTAATTAGATAGAAGTAGCTATTTAAATAACTTGTATAGGTTAGGCATACACAAAGTTAACTAATAACTAATTAATTAATCTTAGTTAATTAATTTAATTTAATTAAGGGTTATTGATTCTCAAGGTTATTCCATTAGTTTTATTTTTGCATTTTATTAATCATATTTTGAAATTCTACTTAATTTAAAATTGTTAGCTTTAGTGTTTGTTAAGGGAAACAAAACTTATTTCTTTTATTATTGGTATTTAGTTTTAATTTTATTTTTAGTATTTTTTGTGATTTTATTATAATTTTTACTTTTTATTATTTATTTTCATCTCAATTATTATATGATTACAATTTATTGATAATAAACATTAAAAATAAAAAAATACTAACTAATATTATGTTATCATTTTTACTCATTTTTTATTAATTTCATCAAGAAGCAAGTGAATTTTTAATATTGGTTTCATAGTGAAAATTTTAATTAATAAAATTTATGATTTAATTGGACTTTATTATGTTTAATTTTACTATTTTATTTTATAATCAACATTTTTTTATATTTTTGGACATTTTCTACAAATTTATGATAATTTTAGTAAAGTTCAAACATTATTTTGCTGATATTTACTAACGATATTTATTAAGTAGTTAATTATTAACTGTCTATATATTTATTAAGTGGGTGCATGCGTTGCACGTGAGAGGTTGTCATGAAAGTGATTAAAGTATGAAAAATTAAAATGAAATTGTAGAAAAAATTCAACACGTTGTAGAAAAATCAATTTTTGATTAATTAGAGTATTGAGTCCTTTAAGCATGTGCTGCTTAGGTTGATACTTGATAGTGTGGATAGCATATTCAATTTCAAAATATAAAGGAACCATCCAGAAGATATTTAAGAAAAAAACATCAATGACTCTTGGTGGTTGGTTGGCAATTGGCATCCTTTGAGGTGTAGAAAGGCATCATCTCCAAGTTGTGAATGTTAATTGGCCCGTATATATTCCTATTAAGGGTGCAACTTGAGCAAGCCCATCCCAATATATCAAACACATGGTACGTTTTCAAGGTCACCAATATATCAATTCCCTAAATACAAATAATAATATAATATCGTTTGTTTTGAATGTTAACAGTTAAAACCTTTCTTGACATATATGCATTGATAAAATATCAGGCCAACATAATTTAATAAAAAAGTTCAAATTGGATGTAATTTCATTTGTTTGGAAACGTGCATACGTGCAATATTCCTATGCTAGTGGTTAGATAGGCTTAGGGCCATTTTCAATACATTGAACTTTGATCTTCAATCCTGTTTCTACACCAACTTTTTGGTCAAAATTGATCTCCATTGTCTAACTTGGACTCTCTAGCATTGGTGAAGCACCGATGGAGAGAAGCACGGTGAAGTATTAGGTATTTTGCCAATTGGTGAAGCACGATATTCATTATGTGTGTAAATTACAGTCAATGTATATCGTATGAGTACAATATAGAGAAATCTACTTGGTAAATCATTGTATATAAACTAAATACACAAATAAACACATCAAAGAAGATTATGAAGCACTACTCATAGTCTAGTCATCATTATCAATAAGCAACAAATATTTGTGATGCCACCAAAGATTCAATAATGTGAAAATTAGACCATATACTTTTGTTCATCAGTAATGGTCCATCAGAATTTTATTGTATTATTCATAGTGCTGCACCTTTACTCTTTGTTGCAGATATTGTTGGATTCATCATCTATCCCAAGCCTGGGCATAGGAGACTAAGAACAAAATACGGAAGATGTCCAGAAACTGAAGGGAGGATGCACATCAATCTCCTCTTAGCTCTACTACTACTACTACTACTACTACTATTACTAATACTACTACTACTACTACTTCAGCAACAACAGACCAATAAAATAAAACCAAAAATCAGAAACTAATAGATACCAAAAGTAAGCCCAATACATACCAGAAACCAGAGACTAGTAGTCCTTGTAGCAACAATTCTTTTTTGTTTCCTATCTGAAAAAAGAAGACTGGTAGATACACATGGCTCACATAAAATCACCTTTTGCATGGATTTTTATCTTTCCATTTGTTTCCTGTTTTCTTTGTTATTTCATTATATTGATTATGGATTAGTCAACTGTCATTGGTTGTGTCTTGCAACACCTAAAACGGGACTTGCAGATGGTAGTCATGATCTCCATCTCTGCATTCTCAAGCATCCTAACAACCTCAGTGAATGAAGGACAAACCTTGGGGTTGGCATTCCAATAGTGTGTCTTGATCTCCCTTAGTGCAGGAAGACAGTCATTAGGGATAATAGGCCTGCCACCTTTGTTCACAATGGCAAATGTTGCCTGCACTGCTATCATATTTTGGAAGGGAAGCATGCCAATTATGAGTTCCCACAGAACAATTCCAAAGCCGTACACATCGACCTTTTGTGTGTATGGCCTATGTTGGATCATCTACCTGCGATAGCAAACAATAGAAGCACTCAAGTAGCCCCAATTGGAAATTATTTGTTATTGCTTAACAAAAAATCTGGAAACATAATTCATTTAAAAACAAAAGCAAAATAAACATTCAACATTTGCAAGAAAAAATAAAAAACACCTATTTCACAACAAAAACAAATGTTGTGTTTTGGATCTTGATCCTAAGAGAAATGATTAAAAGTTAATCAACAATATGTGGGAAATGTTTCAAAATATGAATCCAACCGTTGGACTAGATGGTTTCACCAAAACCTAGACAATTTAGTTCACTTTAAACTATTATTTTTTCAAGAATGGAAAGATTCCAAAGAACCAAAGATTGGATCTACACACCAATCAAACCAGAGCTTTCAGACTTGGAAAAGGCAAGGATAAAAAAATTTCTCACTATCTCTATCAGCAAAGCAGAAGCTTCAAACATCAAATTGAATGAAAATTTGGGTAAATCTGAATGGAAAATTAATTGATGTAGTTCTAATGAAAGCTTATAGGGCACCATTATGGAGATATTTCAAAAAAATTGTAAATATAAGATAGATAAACTTTTAAAAATAGTAGTACAAAAATCCATTCACAATAAGACTTAATTTACAAGCATATTAAGAAGCATAAGATTTGGTGTAAAGCAAATGAGGTATGAATATTTAAATTTGTTCATACTCCTTTTGTATTTCTTTCTTTTTAGTAGAAGGAAATTCTTGTAATTTTACTATATTTTCCCTTTAATATCAATTGGCATAAGTAATATGCCATCACACAAGTTCTATACTAAAAATTGAACTTTAACAAGGATCAAGTACTGAATTGAAACAGAAAATAATAATATTTGGAGATTGATAATTTCAAGATAATTATTTTTTTTCTTCTAATAATCTTATCTCGATCCTACCTTGACAGTTTTGGGTGGTTAGTACCAGATGCCAAATCCTTTTGAGGATTAGCCAACTCCATGGCCAGCCCTAATGATCTCTTTGTACCACTGCTTGTTGTAGAAACTAAAGCTGCACTTCCTTGCGAAAAATAAAAGAAACTACTCATTTCAAATTATCAGTAAACGAAGCTCATAAGAAATGAATTTAAAAAAAGAATCTTCTTAGCTTTGAATTCCATACCTTTGCAGTAAATGGCTCTACATGATAGGCTGAGAAGGGAAGATATTTGGAGTCGGTGGTCTGATTACTAGGCTCTCTGCACAAATGAAATGCTTCCTAAGTTTTCAACTCAAATTCAATTGAGATGGATAGAGAGGGAAGGAGGGAAGAAGAGAAGGGAACATATTGGTTTTCAACGATATAATTAATAGTTGTAGGAAGGAAATAAAAAAGCCAAGAGAAATACTAGTCTTGAATGAATAATGGAGAGAGAAATACAAATCATGAAAGAAGCTCTAGGATCATCATACATTAGATGCTCTCAGGCGTCCCAAATAGAAAAAGAAGAAAGAAAGATGAAAGAAAAGAAAACAAGAAATTGATAATACCCTCCCTATAGCCTTTCCAGTATGCTGGAACTTGCAAGGAATTTATGATTAGTTTGTTGACATGTCATGGTCGAAAAGAACATGATTTTTTTTCTCAAAATTCAAATTTTCATTTCACATATTTTCTTGGAATGAATCTAGTGAAAACAATTATAGAGTAAACGCAGATTTCAATAGTTCATTTGCTCAAAACGCTTTTCTCATGACCCAAACGATCTCTCTTGCAGAATGATCTTATAAACAATATCAATAGGTAATTGAAAATAACAACAACGGACATCACTATGACTATGACACCCTCCAAATGCCATTTTGTATTCTATTGAAAAGAAAGAAAAAGACATAGAATATAAACTCAACAGGAGAAAAACCTAAAAGCGATGCAACTGATGCTATTTATGAACAAAATAAATCAGAGAATGTAAGTTCAGTTGATATAGGCAAACGTAGGAAGAGTTGTTTAACCTTATGACTTCTGTTCAAAATGGCTTTTGTGATGTCAAAGTTTTGTAACTGGTAAAAGAAGGCAGGAGTGGAAGTTGGACTTATGTCATGTCATTTAGTGTGGAAGCATGTTTTATTAAAATAAAAGTGCATATATACCCTCAATAGAAATAGATATATGAGGGTAAAAATTGCTCAATGAAAATTCCAGAAGCCACTATGCCCCATTCATACTTTTATAGATAGTACTAGTAAAAGTGTATGTGCGTTGCACATGGCAATATCAAATGATGATGATGATAATAGTCAACAACCAAATGACTTTATTGATTGAACCATTAACCTATTTAACCAGGAAAATGGAATATGATTAAGACATTAATTCATTTTTTTCTTTGTATTTTAGCCATTTCTATCTTTACTAAGAATAATTCTTTATTTTTCAAACATATTTTTGTTTAATATGAAGAAGATATAATATTAATGCATGCTCAAAATTTTCTATAAAATTTATAAAATATTCTTTATTTTTTTTATTATTTAATTTATGAGATAATAAAAATTACTTATGTACCAAGAGGAAATGCAATTCCAATATATTGTTTGAATATTGGTTTTTAATATTATGGTCAAATGATCAATTATATATCATTTATATGTAATATATATATTATTCATTATTTATTTATAAATATGTTATTTATATTGCACTTTTGTAAACTTCTTATATGATGAAAATAGTTGAAAAAATACTTATATTTTTTGTTTTTCTTTGTTTCAATTATTATATTTTCTTTTCTTTTTAATAATTTATTATTTTTTAATTAAATGAGGTTGTATCGGATTCAGTTATCCAACATATTGATCATATTTAGGTTTGGATCTATATTTATGAGATCTGATCAGATCTTCGGATCGAATCAAATTCAAATATACTCTTATTCAAATCTGATCTGCTTTATTTACATATCTACCAAACCACTTGACTACAATGACCTAGCTAATTAAATCATTGAACCATTTAACATGGTTAGTGGGGTCATGTGTTAGACATTAATGCTTTTTATTTTTTATCCTAATTTTTGTCCCATTTCTATCATTAATGAAAATAATTCTCATTAATCATACCTTTTTTATATGATGAATATATAATATTATAGAATGTACCCAAAATTATCTACAAATTTCTACATTTTTTAGAATTTTATGTATTTTATTATTTAATAATAACATCATGTGTTAATCCATTTGACATGGATAGTTGAACCACCAACCCACCACTTGGATGGAAAAGTCATTTTTTTTTTCGATTGATTTTAAATCATGTATTACATTTTTATCATCAATAAAAGTAATTCTTATTTCCACATTTATTTTTGCACATGGCAGGACCAAATGATGATGATAATAATAATCAGTAACAAAAGGACCTTATTGGTTAAACCATTAATCTATTTAACCAGAAAAATGGACTATGATTAATACTCTAATTCGTTTTTTCTTTATATTTTAGCCATTTCTATCTTTACTAACAATAATTCTCATTTTTTCAAACATATTTTTGTTTAATATGAAGAATATATAATATTAATGATTGTTCAATTTTTTTATGAAATTTATATTCTATACTTTTATTTTTTATTATTTAATTTATGAGATAATAAAAATTACTTATTTATCGAGGGGAAATGAAATTCCAATATATTTTTTGAACATTGGTTTTTAATATTGTGGTCAAATCAATTATTTATATATAATATATATGTTATTTATTATTTATTTAGAAATATGTTATTTATATTGCATTTTTGTAAACTTTTTATATAATGAAAATAGTTGAAAAAATACTTATATTTTTTGTTTTTTTATTTCAATTGTTATATTTTTCTTTTTCTTTTAATAATTTATTATTATTTTTTAAATAAATTGGATCGCATCAGATTTGATTATTTGACATCTTGATCGGATTCAGATTCGAATCAATATTTATGAGATCTAGTCGAATCTTTGGGTCAAATCAGATTTGAATATACCCTAATTCGAATATGATCTGACTGTTTGCATCCCTACCAAACCACTTGCGTATGATAACCTAGCTAATTAAATTATTGAACTACATGGTTTGTCGGGTAATGTGTTAGACATTAATGCTCTTTACTTTTTATCCTAATTTTTATCCCATTTCTATCATTAATGAAAATAATTCTCATTAACCACACTTTTTTCTATGATGAATTTATAATATTATAGAATGTACCCAAAATTATCAACAAATTTCTACATTTTCTATAATTTTATGTATTTTATTATTTAATAATAACATCCATTTGACATGGATAGTTTAACCACTAACCCATCACTTTGATGAAAAAACCATTTTGCTTTTTCGGTTGATTTTAAATCATGTATTCCATTTTCATCATCGATAAAAGTAATTCTTTTTTTTCAACTTATTTTTGTTTAATATGGTGAATATATAATAATAAAATTGTATCAAAATGCTTTATATAAAACTTATATTTTTCTTTGAATTTATATATGTATGTATGTATGTATTTTTTTTTAGCCCCAAAATTTACTCCCGGTGGAGGGGTGGCCATCGAAATTTTATTAATTTGAAGAAAATTGTAGAGGGGGGACGTGAAACCTTACCCCTTGCTCTATACAAAGGGAGCCTAGCTCATATAAACATTAAACGTCTAGGCAACCTAAAATCAACAAATTCTCAAAAAAGGAAGACCTAAACCATCTACTGTATTCAAGTGTTGTACGTGTGAAGGAAGTGTATCTATGCAATCATAAACAGTTTTCTGAGACTCTAAACAACTCAGCTTCGCAAGAGCATTTGCCGGTTGGTTAGCCTCTCTATAAATATGGACACAAAAGAATTCCAATCTATTCCTAAGCTCCTGAACTTGAGACAACCAAAACCCAAGTTTCCAAGGGGTTGTACAAGTACCATTGAGAATATGAATCAGAAGTTTAGAATCTGATTCCATCATTATCTTCTCTAAATTAAGTGCAACCGCCAGGTGTAAGCCATCCAACAAAGCCATAGCCTCTGCAACTAAATTGGAGTCTGAACCATAGGTGTTAGAGAAAGCACTAATGAAACCATTTCTTCCATCTCTGATAATACCCCCTCCACCACATGGGCTAGGATTTCCTTTAGAAGCACCATCAACATCAACTTAAAGTAGCCCTCCAGAACTGGTAATAAATGCACCACCTTGATGTACCTATTCTTAATTGGGTGAATTCGCAACCCCAAACCCTGTAAAGAGAGTTGTTGAGTAAAACTCACTCTATGGGTGAGATTTAGAGGAGAGGATACCTCATGAATCCATCGCACAATTACCCAAATCACCATATTAGAGCATCTAAATTTATGTTCCATTCTACACCTATTTCTTTCCTTCCAGATTTCCCAAACTGCAAAACAAGCAATTAGCCCTACTGTAAGAGTCCATTGATTTTTTTCCTGAGGCTACTGAAAACCAAACAGAGAGGAGCTCCTTAATACTCTCATTAGCCCTAAAGGGAAGCCCAAACAATCTGCTAAAGAGAAGCCAAACTTTTTGAGCTAGACAGCCATGCACCAACAAATGATTAACATTCTCCTCTGAGTGATCACGGCAGCAGACACATCTGGATACAAAAGGGATCCCCAGCTCCTTTATATCAGAGTCCACCCCTACCTTCCCCACCATAAGTTTCCAGACAAAGAAGCTTATCTTGGTAGGTACTAGAGCATTCCAAACTACCTTGTACCAATCCACCGTAGGATGAACATCCCTATAGGACCAAGCTATTTTAACAGAGAACTCTCCTTTTGTTTTAGGAAGCCAAACTATCTTGTCTTGGCCGTTAGAGAGCTTCACACCTAACCTCTGAATCTGTTGGAGAGTCTCATTCTCAAGAAAGTCCCTAACCTAATCCAGATTCCAAATTCCTGCCTCATTAAGAACATCACAAACTCTCAACTGCAAATTAAGACCATCTAGTTGAATGGCTTTCTCAATTAAATGACCATCCACGGTCCAATTATCCAACCAGAAGTTGATTTCGCCCCTTCCCACTAACCACCTCGGGATAAGAACTAAACCACCTCTTAGTTCCATGTTCACCTTCCAGGTACAAGAAGTATAGCATAGAGGGATGGCTGTATAGAAATGACCACCCTTCAGCACCTTGGCTCTGAAAAATTTAGCCCATAAAGAATTTTGGAACAACACTCGCCACAAAGCTTTCAACCTGAGTGCTTTTTGGACATCAGATAAGCTTTTAATATGTAGCCCACCTTCAGAAAAGGTATCACAATTTTCCTCCAAGCTATCCAATGGTGATGACTACCTGTCTCCAAATTAGACCAAAGGAATCCTTTCATCAATTGATCCAGGCGTTTGATAACCTTCTTGGGAGTTGCAACTGCCGACATCAAGTATATCGGAATTCTGCTCAACACATGTCTAATTAGGACTAACTTACCTCTCGTTGAAATCATTTTCCCTTTCTAGCCCAAAATTTTTGTTGTCACTTTCTGCACAATCCCATCAAATGCTCCTGCTTTCACTTGGCCCTTACCAATGGGGATCCCAAGGTAGGTGAAGGGGAGAGACTTGTGCACGTAGCCTGTGACTGAAGTTATGATTTGGATTCTACTGCGAGAGGCTTTTGTTGAAGTGAAAAAATAGCTCTTCGCCTTATTCACCAATTGACCCAAACATTGCTCGTACCTTCGGATTATTGACATTACTTTCTCTAACACCTGCTTGGACCCTCTTGTGTAGATAATGGTGTCTGAACAGGTGCATTAACGATGAGTCACAGGCTTCAAAGGGAAGGATTGCGCCCAACTTGAGTTAACCAGAACTTGATCTAGACGAGCCCAAACACAATCCAAGCCCTCTTTGTTATTGGACCAAGTAAATCAGCTTCTAGAGAAACCCAAATCAACTAGTCCTACAACATTTATTATATCCACAAAATCCTCCATTGTAGACACATTAGGATTTCTTCCCTCCACTTTCTCCTCTCTATAAGTGATCACATTAAAATCTCCAGCTAACAACCAAGGTTCAGAAATACCATAGGCTAAGTTCTGAATTCTGTCCCAAATAGATATTCTTTCCAGCCGATCACAATTGGCATAAACCACAAAAAGAATGAAACTCTCATTGGTAGTGGTGGTGACTTTAACTGATAGGATTTGATCACAGTCATCAATCAATTGTACAGAGAAAAGGCTATTCCAAAAAATAACAATTTTGCTACGGATATTCACCATAAAACCAGTCATATTGAGTCTCCTAGAAATCTAAGAAAGTTTATCATCCTGAATCATGGGTTTAGAAACTGCTAATACCCCTAACTTATGCAGTTTACAAAGTTTTTTCAGACGAGTGATAGAGGGATCATTTGCAATCCCTTTAATATTCCAGAAAAGACCATTCATTGAGAACATCTATAAGTAGTCATACCTTGGCCAGTCTGCGATCTGGTAACTGGTCTGTTCTCACTCTGAACATATTTTTTCCGAGGCCTTTTCTTCTTGCAAACCACCTGTATATAGTTCGCTTCCACTTCTAGCCCGACTTCATCCTCAAATAAGGCACAAGAAGAATTTTGAGCTCTCTCAGTAATTTTATCGAGCAGCTCGACATCAGAATTGAGGCCAGTGTTGTACCCTCTATGAGAAAGTCTCTCGTCCAATTCCAACTTGGATTGTTGCAGCTCCTCTAGACTCCAGATCCTGTGAGGTTTCTTACATGAGAAAGAGATCGTCTCCAGACTGACTGGCCGAACAGGCTTCAAACTGATATCATCTTTTAAAGCAAAAGACATTTGCACCCCCTCTGTAGGTAATGTCAGTTGTTCWAGGATTTTAGGTTGTTGATCCTGGATCTCTTCTGTGTCTGTGTTTTCTATCACTATAGCTTCTGGTATCGGTGCTGGGGTTCTTTGAACCTCCCGGTAAACCTGCTTCACAATTTGTTTTTTTTTTTTTTTTTTTCTGGGTGCCTTAGGATTACCAGGCATTTTAGCTGAAGTGGGTTTAGACTTGGTGACTTCTCCCTCAGATTTCAAATTTCTCTTCAGTTTTAGTTTGCATTCCC